TGATCCGTCGGCCTCAGCCTCTCAAAGTGCTGGGATTACAGGTGTGAGACACCATGCCTGGCCAATTTTTTAATTTCTTGTAGAGATGGGGTTTCACCATGTTGCCCAGGCCTTTCTGGAACTCTTGAGCTCAAGTGATCCTCCCGTCTTGGCCTCCCAAAGTGTTGGGATTCCAGGGGCCCTCTCTTCCTGTTTTCTGGCTCTTTGTGTATCTTTTTGCTCTCTCTGCCTCTCCCTGTCCACACTCTTCCCTCCTCCTACCCAACCTCAGTCCTGCCTCTCTGTCGCCCCCTGCAGGGTGAAGCAGGCTCACTGCCCCTCCACCTCACACACCTCTGAAATTTGTATCTGGGGCAGGCAGCACCCACCCCAGCTCACCTTTCTCCTACCCCTGCCCCCTCCTGACCTGGCTGCGCTTTCCCACCCTCCACAGCCCTGATGCAGAGCCCAGGATCTGCTACCCCAGTCCCAGGTGCCCACCCTCCAGGACCCCTGCCCTTCCCCTCTACCAGCAGGCTTGGCCATAGGACACGCTGACTCCTGGGGGTGACGGGTTTTGCAGCAGGTGTGGTGGGAGCTAGGCTCGGGCAGGTTGGAAGCGGTGCCTCGGCTGGGTCAGAGCCTCTTCCTCCTGCTGCCCAGCTGGGCCTTCCTGCCCTCCCTGCCCAGCAAGCAGAGCAACGTCATGTCAGCCCTGAGCTGGGGACAAACAGACCTGCCCAAGGCCCTGCCCTGGTGAGGATGACATTCGGGCAGGGTGAGAGATTGTGACCCAGTGAACACAGCCACAGGCGCAGATGTATTTACAAAGCATGCTGAATGCAAGAAAGGACCAACGGGGTGTGATAGGGAATTGCAGGGGAGGGGAATTTTCCTGGCCTGGGGACGGCCCAGCTCTCTTTCTTTGTACCAGTAGAGAACAATCATCAAGCCATCTTGTTAGGCAGGAAAAAGCAAGAAGGGCGTGTGCCTTATGACAAGATGACTTGTTTCGTTTTGTTTTGTTGAGAGTCTCTGTCACCCAGGCTGGAGTGCAGTGGCGCGATCCTGGCTCACTGTAGCCTCGACCTCCCAGGTTCAAGCGATCCTCCCACCTCAGCCTCCCAAGTAGGTGGAACCACAGGCACATCCCACCACGCCTGGCAATTTTTTTTTGGTAGAGACAGGGATTTTGCTGTGTTGCCCAGGCTGGTCTCAAATTCCTGAGCTCAAGCCATCCTCCCACCTCAGCCTCCGAAAGTGCTGTAATTGCAGGCACTGCGCCAGGCTGTTTTTTTTGTTTTGTTTTGTTTTGTTGAGACGAAGTCTCACTCTGTCACCCAGGCTGGAGTGCAGTAGCGCAGTCTCAGCTCACTACAACCTCTGCCTCACAGACTGAAATGATTCTCCTGCCTCAGCCTCCTGAGTAGCTGGTATTACAGGCACGCACCACCACACCTGGCTAATTTTTGTATTTTTGGTAGAATCGGGGTTTAGCCATGTTGGCCAGGCTGGTCTTGAACTCCTGACCTCCAGTGATCTACCTGTCTCACCCTCCCAAAGTCTCAGGATTACAGGTGTGAGCCATGGCGCCAGGCCATCGGCTGGTTTTTATTTCATCCAGTTCCCTGGTTATCGACAAGGTGATGCTTCCCGGATTTTCATCTCAGCCCCGACCCCTCTCTCAACTCCAGCCCGTACATCCAGTTGTCCTGGCATCGTCCCTGTGGATACCTCGTTCTTAACATATATGCATGGAGTACTTGATTTCCCAAGAACCCCCTCAAAGAGCTGCCTCGTTCTCTGTCTGACCTCATCTCCCCTTCATTCTCTTCACCCCACACTGGCCTCCCTGCAATTCCCCAACCCACCAAGCTCTGTCCCACCTCAAGGCCTTTGCACTGACTGTTTCCTCTCCCAGAATGCTCCTCTCCCAGTTCCGCAGCCAGTTCCTTCCCCTTCTTCAGGTCTCTGCTCAAATATCACCTCCTCCGAGAAGCCCTCCCTGACCACCCCAACTAGGCAAGGCTTCCACCTGCTCTTCTCTGCCCTGACAGCCCATTCTTCACCTTCAAGGCACTTAGTGCTGTTTGTCAATTAACTAGTTACTTGTTGACTTGTAACTGATTGACATCCCTTTCCCTACAAGGCTGCAAGCCCTGTGACAGGAATGGCGTCTGTTCTTTCACAACATTACACCCGAGTGCATAGGGCTTGACCACTGAAGGCATCTCATAAACATCTGTTGAAAGAACAGGTTGTAGAAAGGGGAATGAGAGGCTCCGGCCATTGTTTGCGTTATAAAAATTATACTTTTTACCAGCCTGGGCAGCATAGCGAGACCCCTATCTCTACAAAACATTTAAAAATTAACTGGGCATGGTGGTGTGTGCCAGTGATCCCAGCCTGAGGTGGGAGAATCACTTGAGCCCAGGAGGTTGAGGTTACAGTGAGCTATGATGGAGCCACTGCACTCCAGCCTAGGTGACAGAGAGAAACCCTGTCTCAAAAAAAAAAAAAAAAAAAAAAAAAAAATTACACTTAGGCGGAGTGCAGTGCCTAATGCCTGTAATCCCAGCACTTTGAGAGGCCACGGCAGGTGGATCACCTGAGATCAGGAGTTGAGACCAGCCTGGGCAACATGGTGAAACCTCGTCTCTAGTAAAAATACATAATAAATTATCTGGATGTGGTGTCGCATGCCTGTAATCCTAATCCCAGTTACTGGGGAGGCTGAGGCAGGAGAATGGCTTGAACTTAAGAGGTGGAGGTTGTAGTGAGCCGAGATTGCACCACTGCACTCCAGCCTGGGCAACAGAGCAAGACTCCATCTAAAAAAAAAAAAAAAAAATTACGCTTAAAAGTGTAATACTTAGGCTGGGTGCAGTGGCTTATGCCTGTAATCTCAGCACTTTGGTACGCTGAGGTGAGCAGATCGCTTGAGGTCAGGAGTTTGAGACCAGCCTGGCCAACATGGTGAAACCCCATCTCTACTAAAAATACAAAAATTAGCTGGGTGTGGTGACAGGTG